CCCTGGGCCACTTTCTCTTCACCAGGCTCAGTCACTGTCATTCACTGTCCTTACAGCTTTCAAAAGGTGTCAAGGCACACAGGCCCTGCTGCCCCAGCTTCCAGCCCTGCTCTGCTCTGCCTCTGAACCCTCTTACTGTTCTTCCTCGGCCCCAGGGCTTCCTTTGGCAGCCACTCTGGCACCATACTGCTATTTAGGGGGAGGAAGCAGGGGAAACCCCTGTTTGGGCAGGATCCACACTCCAAAAAAGGGACAGGCTCCCCTCTCACTCCCATACCCCATAGTACAGGGAACTGAGAGCTTTAACTCTGAATTCCCTGCAGGGCTAGATGCCTTCCATCTGAAGAGATACACCTGAGCTGTGTGACATGCAACCCAGACAGCTCAATCTACTGGCAACTGGCAACTACAAATAAAATCCCTTGGGCTGGCCAGATAGCTCAGCATACTAAAGCGCCTGCTTAGGCAGAGCACAGAGACAGGGGTTCAATCCCCAGCATGCAGTGCTGGCCCTGCCCCAGCTGAGACAGCGATTGAGACTGGGCAGGGTGGCATGCACCTGTAATCCCAGCGCTTAGGAGGATGAAAACAGGAGAATCACTACAAGTCCAATCTACAGAGCAAGACGCTGTAGACCCTGTACTAAATCCACTCAATGAGCTCAAATAACTTTTAAATCATTTTTTTCTTCTTTTTTTTTAGCTGTTTGGGGGCTAAAAAAAAAAATCCCTTTAGCCCCTAAACTCTGTTAGTAGTAGTGGGAGTAGGGCTCCAGTAAATACTCTGGATCTATGTTACATGGTTCACACATTTCGCTTAACACTAAAACAACCTCCCAAGAAAGGGGTAGATTATTACCTACAAAATAAAAGGCTCACGTCCTTCCCCATACATCAGCCCTGGTCCAGCAGAAAGCACCACCCTAGTACTAAATACTGCCTCACTAAACAAGAGCCACCTCCCCGGAGAGCTCCCTTAGCAGGCTTTGCTTATAAACCCTCGGAGGTAATGCCAATAACCAAATAGTGCGAGAGCAAACCCTGCACAGGCCTGCAAGGGTCACCCCCAGGGGCACACTGGCAAGGGCTACAGCACCTCCCCCACACCTCACAGGACCACATCTCCCTGCCCCTGGTCAGCGTCACCCCCCGCAGAAGGCTCCTAGCACGTGCAAGGCAGACTGGTCCCTCCCTCTGCCCCAGGTGACAGAGACACTGCGGAAGGCAGAGCAGGAGCAAAGGAAACTGGATGCTGCTAAGGTCACCAAGCCACTTGGATCAAACCAACCCTGAAACTCATCACCTCCAGACTTTCCAGTTTCCTGGCCAAAACCCTCCCCTCACTGCCAGGCCAGTTTGAACTGGGTTTTGAGTTACCTGTGACTGAACATGCCCTCCTGGTATGACAGCAAGGTCCCCTGGCTCATGGCACAGCCCTATCGGGGCAGTGTGACCGTGTGACTGTCCCATAGATGGGCACACTCAGTAAGACTAACACAAGGGTGCTGTCCTTTGAGTGAAGACCTAGAGGCCCTTTCTGGAAGATTTTCAATGGTGCCTCTGGGCACCCAAAGATACTCCCCACTCTATTTAGATTACTTTTATTTATGTATATTTTTAAAAGATTGGTTTAAGTTATTTGAGATGGTGAATTACAGTCCGAGGTGGTAATTTATTCTGGTAGTTAGGAAGCAATGCTTTGGAAGCCCTGCTGGTGTGTAACATGCAGAGCACGGAAGAAAGCTGAGCGAAGAAGTAACTGCCTCTGACCCTTGGTAAGAGCGCCTACTTCTGCTCCACAGCTGGGATCCCACCACACGCAACTTTTCAGAACAGCATCCACTCAAACACATCCTAAAATGCTTTTCTCCCAGTGTCACACAATCCCAGGCCCATGATGCCCATTTGACCTTTGCCTGAGAAGAAACACGGTTTCACTGCCTGGAGAAGAAAGGCCAGAGCTCAGCACAGAGGTAGATCCTGGGTCCAAGAGTGAGCCCTGGGTGGCTGGGACAGAAAGGGCGGATACCAGGCCACGGACATTGTCCCTTCCTCTGGTGGGATCACCATGACACTTAAGAACAAAACACTCCAAGCTTCTCAGAAGTGGCAGCCTGGTCCAAAGGCAGCATCTCTCCCAGAAGGAAGGAATGTCAGGCACCAGCTCAGGTGTGGCTATGACACTTGGGGTTTCCATGGGCCCTTGGAGCTGGGGTGCAAGGGGCAGAAGGGCCAGGATTGAAGTTCTGGGTGAGTTTCAGGACCACCAAGACTAGAAGGCACTAGAAGGTCCTGCAAATGGATGGATCTCTGGCTCCTTGGAGAGAACGGCACTGCAGGAGGCCATCTGCCCTGGCCTTGTCCTCTCAGAGGTCAGAGACTTAAGAAACTCTACCAAGACTCATCATGGGCACAGATCTCTACAGTTCAGGTCAGACAACAACCCCACTGCCTGGGAACAAATGGGGCATTGTGACTTGCAAAAGCCCCAACCACAAAGGCCACACCCTGCTCCTGCTCCCTGGTCATCTGGTACAGTGAGGGTTGTCCACTAGTGGGTACCAGGCTGACACCTGGGTAGGGATCTCAGGTGCTGAAAACACTCAGGACCTCCCCTTTCTGCAGGTCTGGGCAGTTCCCAATGCCTTTGAAGCCATCAGATGGTCCTTCACCTACAGCCCCAGCAGCTTATGTGGACTATCCCCTTAAAAAGTCTGTCTTGGGGCTGGTGAGATGGCTCAGCGGTGTAAAGCACCTACTTAGAACAAGCTTAGCAAAACACAGGGACTGCGGTTCAATCCCCCAGCACCACATCCCAGCCAGGCCCGCCCCCTGGTGGGCTGAGCTGGCCACACACACACACACACACACACACACACACACACACACACACAATTTAAAAAAAAAAAAAAGTCTGTCTTGTCCCATAGGGCCATCAGAGAACCCTCCACAGGGTTGGGGAGCAGGAGTGTGGCCCTTCCTACAACCCGTTTTTGGAAAGAGGCAGCTCCCACAAGGCAGGGAGCAGCCTGGTACAGCTTGGACTTGAAAAAAAAAGATAAGCCACTAGCCACTGCCCAGCCCTAAAGCCCCTGGCCCAGAAAAGAGGCTGAGCTCATTGGGGCAACAGTGCAAGTTCCCAGGGGTTCCCCAAATGAACTTGACACCCAAACCCAAACACAGAGAAGAAATCAACACTTCCACATTTTCCAAATGCCTGTGGACCTGCCAGAGCCCAGTGAGCCACAGACCTTCAGGGTCTGGCCTGCCCTGCTGGGTGTAGCAAAGGCCAACTTGCTTTAGTCTTCAGGGCTAGAAGGCACTATGCATCCTGTTTCTGCAGCAGAAGGTGGTTCTAGGACTTCTCTGGTTTAAATCCAGTCCTTCCAAATCTTCAACAGCAATTCACTTTTCTGAGCCTTATTTTGGCATGAAAATGGCCTCCTCAGAGCTGTTCTGATGAGTTTATTAATGCTAGAGACTGAGTATTTCCTGTTCTAGAAGGTTCTGGATCCACTGTGTCAGTGCTATGGCTTCTTATCCCTTGGGGGATGCACACCAGAGGCTCTGGAGGAGAGCCTGAGTCTCAGGAGCAGAGTATGCAGGAGCAGCCCAAAGCTTTAGAGGCCACAAAGGCCCAAGGGCTGACAAGTGGTCAGATGAAGGGAGCTGAGCGTAGGAGCTGTGGAGGGGTGCAAGCCACCTAGGAGAGAAAGGGAGGGCACCAGGGCCACAGCTAGCCTTCAGGATGGGAAAGAGAGATCTGTAGCCTGAGAACTGCAGCACCATCCTGAAAGGAGGTGGGCAGGGCTCACAGGAGGCTGTGAGGAGCCTGGAGCTGAGGAAAAGGGCACAGGTCACAGGCTGGTCTGCCCCATGGGGGTCAGAGGGGACATCCAGGGTCTGTGCAGTATCCAGATGGTGACTGTGAGGTCAGCACTTGTTGGAAAGCACACTTGCACAATCTTCTGTTCCTCTTCTTTCTACAATCAGCTGTTCAGTCACACAAGATGGCCTGAAAGCTTGATAAACCAAAAGTGAGGGGGCTGGGAGATAGCTTGGCGGTCTAAGCGCCTGCCTGGCAAGCACAAGGACCTGGGTTCAGTGCCTGGAACCACATGCCATGTCAGCTCCAGAACCTTGGGTGTGCTGTACTGGCCACTGAAATGGAATAATTCCAGTGCTGGGAAGGCTGAGAAAGGAGAATCACTATGAGCTGTGTAGTGAGCCCTGTACCAAATAGTCGCCTTGTTTGTTTTTGGTCTTTTTTTTTTTTTTTTAACTTATTTTACTGTATTTTTTTAGTTGAATTATTTTTTAGGGGAGGTTTATTTTTTGGTTTTGGTGCTGAGGACCAAACCCAGGGCTCCCAGCTTGCAAGGCAAGCATTTTTACCAGAGCCAAATTCCCAGCCCTGCCCTATACCAGATAAATAAAAGAATTAAAAAAAAAAAAAAGTGAGCCCGACACCAGAAGTCATGGTCAGACACCCCTAGGACACAGGAAGAGCCTTGAGGGCCATTCAGCCAGTCTTCTGTGTGAGAAGGGACGGCAGGCTCTGGGGCCTTTGATGCCAACACACTGGTAGGACGGCCTGTGGCCACAGTGCTCCAGGGGCCCCGACCCTTCCTGCTCTCCTGTCACCAAGGAGCCAGGAGTCCAGGACACACTGGTGACTGTGTGAGCACACTGTTCACACTCCAGCTCCGGGTCCCAAGCTCCTTTTCCTGCTTAACAGCGCTGCCTGCAGCTGAGCAGAGCCAAGTGAAAATACTGCTCCCTCGAGCAAAGCTCCTCCAGCTCCACATCCAGCTGTAAGCCAACTGGCCCCAGTAGCCTGGGCTGGAGGGTAAATGGAATTGAGGTCAGTGTGCCAATGACAGACTGCTCCTACCGCTTGCGATCCTGACGGTCTTGTCACCCCAATCCCAGTGACTTCCCTGGCAGATGGATTTGCTACCAAAACCCTTAATAGGGATGCAAAACAAAACAGCCAAACAGCAGTGTTAATATAAAGATATATTCCATAAAAGTCTGGCAGTCAGAGAGAAGCTGCACACTTTTCTAAAAACACAAGCATTCTTCTTCCTCTAGTCTACAGAGAACTGTTAAAAACAAAAACAACAAAAAAAGAAAACAAAAATTACAATGCCATCATCATCATCATCAAGAAACACCCTCAGCGTCATGAGTATGCACCACATGAGTGTGTAATTGTGGCCAGTGACTTGGCCCCCCACCCGGGAGGGCAGACTGGGAAAGCATGGAGCCCAGCCAAGGATGAGGATGCCTGTGGCCATGCCTGGGGCACTGTATCCAAAGTGAGCCCCAAGTGGCCAGGACAGGAAGGAACGACAGAGACCAGCTAACTGGCAGGGATTCACCACAACATTTAGGAATGCAACACCCCAAGCTTCCCAGCAATAGTGGCCTGGCCCTAGCTAGGGCAATGTCCTTCTCCCAGACAGTGCATAACAGGCACCAGCTCCAGTGTGGCTGTGAGGTCTGCAGAGGGTTTCCACAGGCCTTGGGGCTGGAGCTCCCTGGGGCACCAGGAGAGGGAGGGCTGGGATTCAAGTTCTGGGTGACAGTTTCAGTAGCACCAAGACCAGGAAACAGTGAGGCCAACAGGGGCGGTGGAGGGCGTGGGGTCATGGAGGAAGGCGACAGCGTGGTCTAGAGAGGGTGTATAGGTGGCTCTAAGACACTCCACGGACACCGTGTAAGGCTGCTGAGAGGAAGATGCCCGAGGAAAGCAGGAGGAAGGCCGGCCTGCTGTGAGGGCACTCTTACTGCTATAAATAAACTATGTACACTAGCAATGGGAAAGCCAGCTCCCAGAAGGGCCAGACTCCAGCCCGCCTGATGCCCTGGGCTTAATGCTGTGGACACAGAGGCCGCTCTCACCTCCCTCATGCAGGGCCTGCCGGGCCCTAGTCATGCCCGGCCCAGGCTCACTTCATGGGACTGGGAACCCCTACCCCAACACCTGACCTTGAAGCAGGGCAGGCCCCAAGCCACTGGACCTGACAGGGGAACCCGTTCTCGCTTGCTTGGCCCCAGTCCACCCTCCAAAGATGTGGCTGCCTGTGAGCTCAGGAAGTGGTGTAAGGAGGGGCACCCGCAGATGCCCTTGGGCTCCAGGGTGCTGAGTGAAGCCTTCTGTGCAGCCATGGGAGTCCCGACGTCGGTCCCTCAGTGTCACTACCACATAGGAAGACACATAATCTAATGGGTGGAGCCGGGTTGCGATCTGGATTTCAGGCCTGTTGCAGAGGTCCTGGGTCTTCAGCACCAGCAAGCAGGAGCACAGAGGTCACTCATGCTGCTGCCGAAGACAGCACTAGCAACCTCCGCTGCTAGCACAGGCTGGCTACAGTGAAGGCTTGACCTCCATGACGCGGCTGGGCTCCTCAGAAGTGGTGACCCGCCTTCACTGCCTCAATGTCTGAGATCAGGGTCCTCGCCAGAAAGATACCAAAAATCTGCAAGCAAAGGGAACTATCAATGACATCAGCAGGGCCAAAAGGCAGAGGACAGGAATAGGGGCAAGCTGAGGACACTCCCTGCATGCAGGCCCCTTGCCCTCCCTGTGAGGACACAGGACACATGGAGAGCAATTCTGGAGCAAGCAGCCAAGCACAAAGAAGCCACCAATAGGAGGTGAGCCCATGGCTTAGAAGAGCCACATGCAAGCTCCACAGAGTAGAAGGGCCCTGGGCTCCACCTCGAACCCTGGTGAGCAGTTCATGGACCACAGAATGGTGCTAAGCCTAAAGTAACAGCCCATCCCACCTGGTTCCAATTCCTGATAAATCCCCAGTATCTCCTGCAAACCTGGAATCCACCAGAAACCAAAGCCACCCCTACTATTGACTGTCGCTCATATGAAGATGTAGCCTGAACTTGCTGAAGCAGGAGTGAGGCTTTCTCCTCTGCGCTGACCAGCATGAGCTTGGGAACCTTTGATGCTGGTTTGGTCTTTTCCCTTTGTAATTCTTGCTGTGGTTTGGAACTGACCAGCCAATCTTTCTCAAGTTTGATTTCTCTGCCTGCTTTTCAGGAGTGTTTCTCCTTTCCCCCTCTATGCTTCTCTCTGCTCCATATACCACGCACTGTGTAGTGAAGAGGAAGCAGGTGGGGAAGCTGAGACAGGGTTCCACAGGTCCCTCCAGGCTGGACCAGAGTTGGATACCATCAGAGCATCTGTGTTCCACAGCACAAGGCATCTGGATTGGGGAACTGTCAGAGGCCATGAGCAGCACTGCAAACACAGCCTGTTCCCTCATGTCACTGAATTCCTGACTCTCAGGAGGACACTGACAGCAATGTACCTAGGCTTCACTGCCCCTCTGCCACCAACATCCTTCCATATGAAATCTAGGTCAGGGCTGCGGAGATAGCTCGGAAGCCTAAGCGCTTTCCTGGCAAGTGCAAGGACCCGGGTTTGGTCCCCAATACCACATGCCATGCCGGCTCCAGAACCCCAGGTCCACTGTGCTGACCACTGAAACCAGGTGTGGTAGCGCACATTTATAATTCCAGCACTGGGGGAAGCTGAAGCAGGACAATCACTATGAGTCTGAGCGGCGTAGCAAGAACCTGCACCAAATAATTTTTTTCCAAATAAATGATTTTTTAAAAATTAAAAAAAAAAAAAAGAAAAAAATTTGGGTCAAATGAACACAAGGGCAGCCTTGCTGGAGAAAGACTCACATGGGAAGCAGTCAGGGGCTCCTGTGAACAGGAGTACTGCCTGAGATGTGTGCCAGTGACAGGAAGGAGCAGCTCCTAAGGAGCCATGGGGATCTAAGCCTTGGGCCTTCTTCCAGCCCAGCTGACCACAGGGTCAACTTTCATTCCAATGCACTTACCATCCCCTTAAAGCTTGCTGCCTCCACTCAGCAGCAAGGACTCCAAAGCGTATGGCAGCCCAGCCAGCACATACACAACCCAAGCTCCACTCTTGAAGCCTGCTGGGCCTTCGCAGCCCGTTCTGAGCCTAGGCTCTCCACATATGACGTTTGTGGGAATCATGATGCTAAATGTGTGCATGTGCATACACACACGCATGCACACAGCCTAGACATGCAGTTTCTGATGGACACCTGAACTGGACAAGCATCCTGTTTAGGCCAAATGGTTGGAAATAAAAAGCAATGTGCCCGCCCAGTCCCACAGGTACCTAGAACCTACCTGCAAAAGCGAAATGGCGAGGAAGACGCCAGCCACGATGTAGATGTTCCTCGGCAGCCAGCCCTCCAGAGCCGGGATGCAGCCCTTTGTAAAGATGAATTCATCCCACTTGCTCTTCAACTACAGAGAGATACACACTGGCCTGAGCCTGCAGCACACAGACTAGTTCCCTGGACAGGGCAGTGCAAACCTCATAGGAACGAGGCTCCAGGGCAGGGGCTAGGGACAGTCAGGACTCTCGGCCCCAGCCCTGTCACACCAAATGCTCTCTGCCTTCATCTGGGGCCTTTCTGTTTGGGCCTCCAGGGAGTCAGAGACACTCCCAGGCCCTTTAGGATGGGTTCTGGAAGTGAGGAGGAAGATGTACCTCTGAAGGGAGAAACAGGTAACGGAGATCTCAAGTGTGGGGACAGTGGTTCCTTGGGGAGTATTTCCCCCAGGAAAGCCTGGCTCCAGGGAACAGCCAGGTGGTGATGGCCATCGGCCCACCAGCTCCCTCCTCCGAAGCCAGCCCCTGGTTACAACCACTAGGTACACAAGGCCTGAGTTCCAGCCCACACTCATGCCTACCCACCCCATACAGCTCAGAGCCAAGCCCCTTTCTGTCCACCTCCTCCATATTGATAGATGGACATGCATTCCTTCTGGCAGCTTTATGGGCTGGCCTCCTGCCCCATTCATATGTGCCCTGTTAATCCCCAGGACCTCAGAATGTGATGGTATTAGTCTGGACAGAGGTCATAACAGTGGGTTCTGATCCAGCGGGGCTGGTGTCCTTACAAGAGGGATCAGGACAAAGGCACAGACATCAGCCTCATGAAGACACAGAAAACCTGGCACAGAGCCTCCTCCTCAGCCCTCAGAAGAAAGCCATCCTGTGGACACAACAACCTTGGGCCCTCAGCCTGCAGCACTGTAGGAACAGGTTTCTGTTGGTTAGGCCACCCAGGCTTTGGAAAACTAACAGAAGGGGCAACATGACCCGAAACCCAGGAAGCTCAGCTCAGACAGTTGTAGGTCTGTCTGGGCTGCCATAGCCAAAGGCCACAAGCTGGACAGGTGAGACAACAGAAACGTGTTTATCACTGCTCCAGGGGCTGGGAGGGCCAGCAGCAATGTGCTCTGGCTCACAGAAGATGCCTCCACTATGTCCAGCCTCTACTATGTCCGCACGCACACAGCCAGGCCTCAGGGACTGCATCTCATCCACCCAACAGCTGCCTTATGGTCTAATCACCTCTCAAAGTCCCATGTTCAAGAAGCCATTACACCAGCAATTAGGGCTCACTCTATGAATTGGGGATGGAGGTACACTCAAGTCAGTCCTGGAGTGACTGAGGAAGGACTCTTGAGGGTCCCAAGCTGCCCACACACATCCTCATGCCCACAGCCAACAGGATGGTTCCTGCAGAGTCCCCAAGCTGTCCCTTTCAGGACTGCATTATGCATATCAGAGGCCACCAGAGTAAGGACTAGAGGGGGGTGCTGGGCAATGTCTGTTTCTTTGGGGTGGGGTCTTGCTTATCTTAACATCTAAGCACCCTCTCCCTGTGGCCTGAGGGAGCCCCACGAATTCTAAGCCAGCCCCAGCTGTCTCCCACCTATCACTACTGCCTCCTTGGGCAAACAGGTCAAGTCACACTCTCCACAGCATCACCAAGCACCCCTTTAAGGAGTCTATTGCAAACAAACTTTGGACTGGGGTGATAGCACAGCAGCATAAGCGTCTGCCTGGCAAGTACAAGGTCCTGAGTTCGATCTCTGGTACAAAAAAACCCCACAATCTCTGTTTCCCAAAACTTTTGACCTCCCACTCTAACGCACCAATGGGTAAATGTGAGGACTGGAGTCAGAGGGCTTTAGATCTGTACCCAGCCCTGCTCCTGGAGGTTTTGCTGCCAGCTCAGCAGCCAAGCATGTGGTCCTAGGTGCCAGTCAGCTGGCTCCCACCTTAAATGATACATTTGAGTTACCCTCCCCTCATTTCTCACTCCAATCTGTGCTTCTGCTAAGCCAGGACTGGACTATAGGAAATAAAAACCTGAACAGCTGTCACCCTACAGAACCCTCAAAGTTATGTGCACTGGGGTGCTCACCTGAATCCTGACGTCATATCCACACTGTGTGTTCACAACTTTTTGCTGTAAGAAAAGTAGAAAAATAAGCCACATTTATCCTTTTGAGAAGCTGGCAGTTGGAGGCCCCAGAAAAACCACACCCCAGCACCAGCAGGCCTGTGCAAGTGCCACCACTGCGTACCCCTCCAACCATGGCAGCAGCAAATCCTTCAACCCAGTCTCCAGCGCAACGCTCTGCCTCCAGGGCAGGGAGCAGATAGTGGGCTGCGAAGGCGCAGGCACGGCTCTATTTCTGAGCAGCACAGATACTCAAGTGTGAGCTGCACACGCCTCGCATGGGGCCCAGAATCCTACCCTTCTGACTTTCAACCAGCTACAGCTCGGGTGCTGGATGGCACCCCAGGGTCCACGTGTCAAAGGCCTGGTCCTGGATGGCACCTGAGGCCCCAGAGCCTAGTAGGAGGCCCTAAAGTCGCTGTGCCCTCGCAGGGGCGGCAGGACCCTGGCCCTCTCTCCTCTGCTTCTTGGAGAGGAAGCATGCACTCTGCTCTGTGATGTGCTCCCCACTATCCCTCTTCACCCAACCAGAGGCCCATTGTGGCCCAGAACCCTAAAACTCTGAGCTCAGGTCACTCTAAGTATTATCTAGGCATTTCCTTATAAGGATGGAAAGCTAACACAAACGGCTTTAAAAAGCTCAAAGCCTGGCACCTCATACACAACAGGGGGACCAGACCTTGCCCAGGCAGTGGACGTGGTGTTCTGAATGCTCAGAGCACCAGGCATCAAAACACCATGCGGACAGCTGACAGGGGCTGGTTCTGCTCAGGCTCCATTCAGGCAAAATCCACCCCTCCTTGTGGGACAATGCCCCCCAAGAGCCCAATTTCTGGAACCCCAAGGACCTGAACCTTAGACCAGGAATGAAAACAGATGAAGGAGAAAAAATACAAAATAATGTTCTACCGTGGAGACTCTGCGGAAAGTGCGGCACCCCACAGCCACTGGGAACTGCTCTGAGCTAGGTGTGCCTTTCCTCCTAACTTTGCTGGTGACCCATATAATGGACACAATGCACCAGTATCCCTGTGACTGCCCAGGACCCAGAGTGGCTGACTCACCGCAGGGTCCGGCACACAGCAGGAGAAGGGCACCCCACACTTCTCGCGGCTGTAGCTGGCTCCGCTGCAGTTGAAGTAGACATTGAGGTCCCAGTCCTCAGGGCCGTAAGCCCCACAGCAATGGTTCTGCAATCACAAATGTCCACAGCCAGCCATCAGTGACCTGGGGCAGAGCCAGGGTGCCTAGCACAAGGCAGCAGTCAGGTGTGGTTGGGCCAGGACACCCCATCCACAGGAACTGAGGACCACCCTGCACCCCACACGCACAAAGATGCTGCCAGTACTGACAAACAGGCGGCTCCTGAAGTAGACTCTGGCCTGGTCCCCAGTCTCCGTCTAACCCCCAGGGCCGGATGCTCCCTTCCTCCCACATCCTCCAGCCTGCCCTCCTGTTTTCTGAAGCCCTCCTGTGCAGATGTATCCTCTCCTATAGGAGGGAACCCCTAGGAAGCAGCAGGCCTCGTCCCAAAAGAACTTTATATTGACCCCAGTGACTCTTTTGGCTCTTTACAAAGAGCTGCTGAGTGTCCCACCAGAACAAGAGCTGCAACTGAAGCAAGCAGCGATGCGTCTGTCTCTGCCCCTCCTGGGGCCTCTGTCCCTGCTCCCACCACTTGATGTGGAGATAAAGCAAGACTCCCACCCAAAAGCATTGCTGTGAAGAAACACACTGTCCACTATAGGGGCACCCGACCTAAGAGCCCAGACCTGCCCTTGAGGCTGATGTGGCAGACAGAAGTCACAGCAAATGACCACACACAGGCGTATGTTTTCAGTGTCTTTTTTTTGTCCCACTATTTTTTAAGATAAAACTCTACCTTCCTAGGCCAGCTTTCTAATGATTACCTACTGTGTCTCCCCAACGAGACTCACTCACCCCCTAACTCTTTTTTTTTTTAATTTTTTTTTAATTATTTATTTGTGGGGGGTGTGTGGCCAGCTCAGCCCACCAGGGGGCGGGGCTGGCTGGCATGTGGTGCTGGGGGATTGAACCGCGGTCCCTGTGCTTTGCTAAGCTTGTTCTAAGTAGGTGCTTCAGACCACTGAGCCATCTCACCAGCCCTCACCCCCTAACTCTTACAGAAGTTTCTGAGAGGATGAGGCAGTGGAGAAGGCTGCACTACAATGAGGAAACACAGTGGAAACACCTTAACCCAGGGCCATGCGAACTCAGAAAGGGGACTGGTACCAGACAGAAAAGCAGCAGTAAGAGACAAGGAGGCCCTGCACCAGTGAGCAGCATCAGCAGCATATATGGACGGACTCTGCTCACATAGACAGGTTTTGCTAGAACCCGTGATAAGTAAACCGAGAGCAAGTCAATAGTAACCAAAGAGTGGGGCATAGTTATTTTTAGAGTATTCTATTCTAGTTCACTTTCTTCCCAGAAATAAAGTGTTTAAGGAATATCAAGTGCTTAAGGAAGCTGGGATCCTGGCACAGGATGGCGTGGTAGGGCTCAGATGGCTGTGGTCCAGGCTCCAGGGCTGCTCAGCCCCTGGGGACGTGTTCCAGAGGCCAAATCCCACAGCAGAGGAAGCTCTGCCCTCTCCTGCAGGTAGGGGAAAGTCCCAGAGGAAGAGGACAGAAATAGCCACGGAGGGGGGCACATGTGCTTTGCTCCAGGACCCCGAGAAGGCCTTGGGGGTGCCTCCTGGGGTACCACCAGACCACCAACAGTGGGCAGAACCACAATAACCTGAGACAAGGCCAATGTATGTGGCACTGCAGGCAGCAGGCCACTAGGGAGCCAGCTGGCGGCACTTACAGCCCTCTGCAGAGAATCGATGAGGTTCTGTAGATCGATGTCATCCCGATAGGATCTGATGTTGCTCTCGAAGAATTCCCGGAAGCGGTCCCTTACCCAGTCCTGAAACAGGAAGGCTAGCACAGCGCCCGCCAGTTCCAGGAAGAAGATGAGCACGATGGCACCACAAAACTGTGGAGACAAAGGCCTGCGTCACCACGCCACCAATCCAACCTGGCCCAGAACACTCCAACCCAAACCCACCACTACTACAAAGAGCACGGGTTGTGCACACAAGACCCCAAGTGAGCCCAGGGATGTCCCACTGTTAGGGAGGGATCCCCGGCAACTCTGTCCCCTCGGTAAGTGGCAGCAGCCAAGTCACTTGCAGCACAGGTGGAAATAGGAAATGTGTGGGGTCGGAACAGACTTCACCCAGCTGCCACGCACCTCGGAGGACACAGCCCTGCTCCACAAGGAGAGGAAGGCTGCATCTTGGAGCAGAGTAGCTCCTCACCCCTCTGTCCATACTGCCAGCTGCTTGTGGACAGAGCTTGCTCCAGGCACCGAGTAGCCACGTGCCGCCTACAGACAACCACTTATGTCCCTAGAAATCCCACCTGTTTCCCCCACTTTAGGGACAAAGGAACTGAAGACCTCTCTGGTGCACTCTTGCCTCAGGTCACCTGGGTTCCTAGCAGGACTCTCACACTCTCAGAGGTGCCACTGTCACCAGCAGTACATGTCACAGCACTGGAGGCCACAGAAATCTTTCTCAAAGCATGGCTGCCTGCAGCCATAAGTGGGGGTGTGTGCTCCAGGCCCTTACAAAGCCACAGGTCCACCCCATGCCACTGAGGTGCCGCCACCTGCAGCGTCTGTTTTCACAGCCTCCAAAGACACTGGGCAGCTTTGCCACAAGTACAATTGGGGAGGAGGCTTTCAAAGTAAGAGAAAAATCAGGAGCAGGCACTTACATGCCCATGCAGACACACTAGGCCAGACACTAAACATAGCCTTTTAAGAGGGGAAAAAACACATGCTTTGCTTTTTAAATTATGCCCAGAAAAGGTTTGACCTAATAAACTCAACAAATAATACACTGTGAAAAATGATGCATTTTCCACACCAGGTACTATTTAATTTTAACTAAGTGCATTTAAAAACGCACTGGTCTCTAAATATACAACTAAGTCCTGAAGCAGCTTGTAGTTCTGCCAGGAAATTAGGACTCCGCGCTGCAAGTCCAGATTCATCCATCCCAGAGGAGGGAAGTGATCTGGCAACATCTTTTGATTTTTGGACAAGAAAGGCAACGGTGAGCAGCACACAAACAGCTCCTTTAGAACTTGTGAGGGCAGATAAAAGGCCAGGCAGGCCTTCCTGCCCCAGAGCCAAGGACAGCTTTCTATTTCCTCATGCCTCTTCCATTGCCTTCTGCGGATACTGCAGTTTTCAGTGTAGAGATCTTTTACTTCCTTTGTTACAGTGACCTCTAACTATTATTATTATTATTTATTTTTTTGGATACTATTTTGAAAGACATGGTTTCCCTAATTTCTCAGTTTTGTTATTTGTGCATAGGAATGCTACTGATTTGTAAGTGTTGATTCTGTATCCAGCAAGGCTACAGAGTCTGGTTATTAAATCTTGGAGACTTAACAGTGGAGTTTTTCAGGTCTTCTATGAAGAGAATCATGTCATCTGTGAACAATGATAATTTTACTTTTTCTTTTCCTCTCCTTACTCCTTTTATTTATCTCTCTTGCCTAATTACTTTGGCTAATGTTTTCAGAACTATTGAATAAGAGTGGTGATATTAGACATCTTTGTCTTGCTCCTGATTTTACAGCGAAGTCTTTCTGGTTTTGTCCATTTAGTATGATGTTGGCTGTTGGCTTGTCATAGATGGCTTTTATCAGACTGTAAGTCATACTCTCAAAATCGTTACACAGATGTCATGCAATCCCAGTCAACAGCGTACCTCACAAAACTAAAGAATTCCTGTAATTCATTTCGAACTAAAAGAGATGCAGAATGCAAAAGTAATTCTGGGCAGGGGCAAATTCCCTATGATGAATGTGATCATCATGTATGCCTAAAATATACCAATAAAATTAATTAGTTAAAGAAAAAGGCAAGGGAGGAGTGGGCACCTGCCAGCTCCTTCTGCAGGGGCTGAAAACCAGAGAGGTCAGCTGTCTGGTATGAGGCGCCAAATCCTGTGGACTTTTCCTAACCCTCCTTCCACAAGGCAGCAGGGTGCCAGGGCCCAGTCCCTGCTCACCACCCACAGAGCCCCACTCTCGGTCACTCACAAACTTGAGCAGGCAGATGTTCTCCCGCAGAGCCCCTACGCAGCCAGCAAAGCCCAGCGTGAACATCACCACGCCCACCATCAGAACCAGCACCACCGGGTCAATGCCATGCAACTGGGTCACTCGAGTGAGGTCAGACAGCACACCCTGTGAAGAGAGCAGCTGTCAGGCGTGAGGGCACACGCAGGCAGGAGGGGCTCACAAAGCCCTCCATGAGCCCCCTGGAGCCCCCGCCGCCTCCCCAGAACCCTGCTCTCCATGGGCTCTAAGTGCTCACTCAAGGAAGGCAGCCACTGCCCTACTGCCTACAACACCATTGGCCACATGCATTCCTGAGCACTTAGGGAGACTGAGCAGCTGGACCTGCATCTGTGCACGTTTTAACTAATAAAAAACATAAATGCACATAATAATAGGTGGTTGGTGGCCAGCATAAGGGGTGGTGTTCTTGACACTCCCAAGATAGGGCAAGTCATGGTGCTGCAGTACTGGAGGTGACCACACGGTGGTGCTGTGAGGTGGGGCCGCTCCAGCTCCAGGCCCTGCCGCAAAGGGACCCTGGGCCCTGTTCCTGTATTTGGGGCTGCACAGGACCCTTGGGAAATGCAGCCCTATCCAGGTCCTCAGAGCACTGCCAGGATGTGCAAATGCCTACGTGCTCCAGGACCTGTCTGGGGAAGGAAAGGCAGGCTCCTCAGAAGGGAAGGCCCAGGATGGCAGCTCTGCTTCACTTTCCTTCCCAGCTTGCTGTGTGCTCTGCTCTCCAACCCGCAGCGGTGAAGAGGGCACCTCTTTGCTGTGCTGACCAACAGTAAGGTCCCCCCAGACCACACAGCCCAGTTCTCCCTTCCCAGGCACAGAAACAACGCACGTGGCCTGGCTGTCAGAAGCAGGAGGGGTGGAAGGCAGCACCAGCCAGGCCCCCAGCTGCCCTCCAGCTCTGGGGTAGGAGTCTGCACCCTCCAAGCCCCACCTGGCCTGACTGGCTGTGAGCTGCTGAGCCCAGAGGTTCAGGAGTAAGCCGCCTAGGGCTGATTTCCGGACCCTCACAGCTGCACAGAAACACCTGTGTCAGGCACAGAATGGAGAGGACATTTAAAGCCAAAAGAATCTGTTTGGGCTACCTGAAACCCAGGACCCTACAAAGTCCCACCTACCTTTTCGCTCCATGCCCACAGCCCGACTCCGAGGAAGACAACTCCAGCCAACTGGGTACAAACAGGTGGGGAGAGAGAAGGAAAGTTAGGTCAGAAACTAGCAACATGAACATGATGTTCTTGCTGAGGTGTTTGCTTTTGCTTGTTTGTAGTACGAGAAACTGAACCCAAACCCTCCCCAGCCCTTTTTATTTTTGAGTCAGAGTCTGTCTCCAAGATGCCCTGGCTGGGTTCAAACTTGCAGTCCTCCTGCCTCAGCCTCTCAGTGCACTAGGATTACAGCCATGCACCACCATGCCCAGCAAACATGGTTCTGAGAGTCAAGTCCACTGCTAATGAGGCGCACTCATTTCTGTGTTCTGTTCTGTGGCAGCACCTCAGCCTAGCAGGCAGCACCCATTACCCCAAGGCAGGATGCAGAGGCTGTGCGGGTAACCAGGAAGGGCCTCAGAATTTCTGACAAACCCTTTCCACATCAGAGGGCTGCCCAACCCAGACAGCAGAGGTGAGGATCTCAGAGCAGACTGGGTTCTGAGGACTGTGGAGTAGAGACACAAGCCTGGGCCTCGTTTCTTGGCGCTCTGCATTTGGCCCCCACTCATCTCAGTGCATGTTCTGGTTAACAAGAAGCAGACTTCCTGAGGGTCATGCTACCACCTCCAAGGCTTCCAAGGCAGGCAGCACGGCAAGGAGAGTGGTGGGGCAGCAGACACATCTCTGTCCGTGTCTGCCTCCAGCCTTATACCCAGGTTCCATCTACAGCAAGCAAAGAAGCCACCCAGGCTGTTCATGGGCCAGCCCTGAGCCTCTTTACAGCAGCACTACTCTCCTCCACACAGGGCACATGGATGTCCAGGGAAAGCTGTGTCACTTGCTACTAGATGAGCCCAAGCCTGCACTGGACACTGAGCTCACTCAGGAGGAAGCGCCTGAGCCTGACCTCACCCCAGCAGGAGTTGTGGGGCAGCTCTGCTGAGCCAGGGATGACTTCTGTAAAGCCTAGACTTGTCAGGACCCTGCAAAAGAAGCCACCTCTTTTAATGGACCACTGACACCATGCTGGCATCTCCCTGCTACTTATCAGTGCCTCATTGTAAGTAATAGGATGGGGCTCCTCCAGGACTCTCATCCAAAGTCAGTCCTCAGGCGCCAGTGGTTCTGCCCACTTAATTCCATAGCTAGAAGGAAACGCCCAGCCTCCAGTGAAAGCCCCAGGGTCTCCACCTCTTCCAGATCACAGACAGCTCTCAGCAAACACCCTCACTTGTACAGAACTACAGAGGGCTCCCAGCTTCTTGCAGCTGGTTCTCAATGCACTGGCTAGACCTTCCCTCCCATGAAGAAGCCCACCAGAACCGATGCTGTGTGTCACAACACAAAGCAGAACACCAGGGACCAACATGGCAGGACTAACATGGCAGGCAGTGTGAAGAGCCTCAACCCACCCCCACCTCATCCATTCTTTTGCTCCTTGTCACTGATTCACAAATACTTTGAGTACAAGAATGAGGCCAAGCTGGCACATTTCTGGGCTGCTGGTACTTGGGCTCCAGTGGGTCCACTGTCCTTGTTCTGCCTACCACACCACACCCATTTCCTAGTTGATGAGATGAGGGGTACAGGCCACTTCCTCTCATCATCCTAAGGTTGCATAATGAAAAGTAGCTCACAAGCCTTCCTACACCTTCCTAACACTCCTCAGCCCCCAGTGACTGACTTCCCCTTTCCAACATGGAAGGTCATCTTATCTGACCTCCTGGGGGAGAAGTCAAGGTTTGTCTCCCCATCCTCCACCGTCAATGACACACCCAGCCCCTCCCCCAGCGCTGTCTAACTCCCATCATTCTTGGCTTCTCTTTCCAACCAACCAAGTACCAGTAACCTCAGGCTCAGTCCTGGGCCCCTTGCTCTGCCAAAACCCTCTGGATGACCTTTAGAGTCCCCTGACTTTAAATACCATCTATCCAAAGATTGTAGAGCCAGACCTCCAGCTTGGCTACACCCCTGGCCACACACCCTAATGCCTCTGCAGCTGGTCTACCTAATCAGTTTGAGGAGACTCAGCTCTTACCACACCCCAGGAAAGCCTGGGCCTACCAAGCCCGTCTGGCTCCTTCCCACCTTCTCAACTCCTCACAGCTCCCTCAAAGAGGAGACATCTACACCTGCAGCTTGCTGTCTCCTCTTGTATCCCACATTCAACCCTTGAGGACTCTTTCTTCTGGTTCTACCTTCAAAATAGGTCATGCATTCAACGGGTTTTCTTCATGATTCTGCTCTGATATGTCACAATCACCTGTTCAAGTCAGGATTTGTAGAAGCCTGGGTACAGGCCACTTCCTCTCATCACCCCAAGGTTGCACAATGGCATGAAAATCAGCTCACAAGCCTTCCTACACCTTCCTACCACTCCTCAGCCCCCAGAGACTGACTTCCTCTTTCCAACATTATAGGTCATCTTATCTGACCTCCTGGGGGTGAAGTCAAGGTTCGTCTCCCCATCCTCCACCTTCAATGACACACCCAGCCCCTCCCCTCACTGTTTGCACAGAGTGATCTTTTTAAAATATAGCTGCCCTTCGTATCCTAAAGCAGATCCATTGCTGGTGAGAAACACTTCTGATCAGTCTGGGGTAGAACCTTGGCTGCCACAGGTAGAACCCGCTACCAAGACAAACGTGGAAGCTTCTCAGATAACCAGGAAGAGTTCCCCTGTGGATACCAAAACCTCAGATGCTGTAATCCCTTAGAAACAGTGACCTAGTATTTGCGTAGTGGAACCTAATCTAATCTTCCAGACTTTAAAGCATCTCTAGATTGCTTATCACGCCCAATACAATGTAAATGATGTGTAAATACCTGTTACACTGCATTGTTTAGGGAACATTGGAGAAAGGGCTACAGTTGAGTAAAGGCACAGATTTTTAAAAAATTACTTCTTATCTAAGGTTGACTGAATACACGGATGCAGGACCAGGAGACAGTGAAGGGTGACTGTATGATGAGGTAATCCCCCTTCTCAGAACCCTCCTGACCTAGCAGCCCCTGCCCACAGCTGCTGGCTGGCCCCACCAAGCCAGATGGCCTCCTGATATCCCCCACCTGGCCCTGCCTCAGAGCCCCCACAACAAGGTCCTTCAGAGATCCTCAACAGTCACTTCCTCTGGGATGTCCCTTACTATCCAGGGGGAAGTACTCCCTGATGTCACTGTCACTCAGCCCTCACAGCTACAGACCTCTATCCCAATGCTGAGGCCAGGGACCTGGACACAGAATAAAGCACAGGGCTGGGACCTGCTCTCCTCCCAGGCACATGTCCGGCCCTCACCCACTCCCCAGGGCCAAGCAACAGCCAGCTGGGCTGGCCGGGTCCATGGACAGCACTATGCAGTGGTGTCAGCCAGGATGGAAGAAGACATCTGCTGATGGTGCAGCTGTGCCCGGGTTCCCCTTTGCACAACTGGCTGCACACCTCAGCACTCTGTGGCCAGGTGAGGGAAGGCCACCATGACACTCACCCAGAGCTCGCCCCCACACAAAGATAGCACACTCCTTCATCTCACTTTCAACACTGTCTCCCCACCTTCAGAGCTTCTCCCAGGTGACTGAGCAGCTTCAATGCTACTCTGCCAAAGCATTCGGACTGAGTCCCTGAGCAAGGGCAGAGAAAGCATGTGCCCCCCACCCAACTGCCTGCACCCTACCCAGACACATCTCCTGCCTCAAGTCCCTGAACCAGCTACTGCAGCCCTGCATACAGCTCTCCTCTCACAGGGCCCAGACTCCAAGAATCTGGGCTCCAGTTTTTTTCCACTGTGTCTCAAAAGAGAGCTAAAGTGAGCTCACAGCAACAGACAGGAACTGCTCACACAGCAGATCATGGGTTCAACACTGGCCTGGGCAGGATCATGCAGGGACCAGAGAACATTTTAGAGACTAGAGTAAAGGAGAAGCAGGCAGAAGACAGCCAGTCTCCTCAGGTGAAGGCCCACACTCCCAGCAGATGTCTGGATCTGCTGGGTGTATACCAGCCTTGGAGCAGCCCGCCCTGACCTCCTTCTATGACCTCAATGAATCCCCTCCTGAAGAAAGCCCCCACTCCAGCCAAGCCAGAGAGAGGCTGGCTGCCAGCACAAAGAGCACAAAGACTGCCTGGTCACAAAGGCAGGCAGCCTTGCTCCCTCCTGAGCACCACACTCTGTGCTAGCACAACAACACACCTTGCACACCCCTCAGCATAGCTCATTCATGGCTCAGCACACCCCTTGCACTACCTTACACATACCTGGCACACAGCTCAGCACACACCTCACACACACCTTTGCACCCGGTCCTCTCATTCTCATCTTTCATGCTGTAGAACAACTTGAGTCACCTGTGTGCAAGGCCACACAGCTGACTAGTGACAGACTTAAGAAGCAAGTCGTGTTTCTGACCTTGACCACTTGCTATCTCATCACCTGCAGGGCAGCCAACCCTGCCATCCAGCCAAGGAGGGCTATCAACCCCTCTAGGGGGTTAGGATCCATACAGGATCCAAGCAGGGTAAAAGTACCACCAAGGGGCTTCCAGCTTCACAACCCTAAAGCCAACAAGCCACACCACAGTGGAGAGGCCCACAGTATGTGAAGCACAGCACAGGAGAAAGCAGACCTCCAGGGGGTCAATGTGAAGCTCCAACTTCAGCTGCCCCCTTATGCTATGCTTCTCAGAACCAAAAGGAGCCCCCATAGGCTCTCTGGCTTGTCTTGCCCTGCCCGGTCCTAGCAGCCATGAGGACTCTTCTACCACATACGCCAGCCCATGGCACTTTACCCAAGCAGGACTGAACCCCAGCAGAAGTGCCAACAGCTGGCCAGGTCCTGTGGGACTGCAGGAGAGAGGGGCAGGCCCAAATCAGCCTCCTGCCCCATGACTCTGGCCTCATGGGGGACAGCACACAGGCTCTACATGTCCCAAAGGCCTCCTGAGCAAGCACAAGACAAATAATTTCAGGCACTGCCCTCAGTCTCTGGTTCTTGCACAATTCTCCAATGACTCAGACTGACACT